ATCCAATCAGCTTCTACACAGGCACTAGAGGCAATTCCGCAAACTGAGCTAGAACATGCATTTGAATCACTATTGAATCGCTGTAACAAGTGTATTGAAGCCAGAGAAGAATATTTTGAATAATAAAACCAAAAAATATGCATATTGTTGTTTCAATTATGATTTTCATGCCCTGTCCGGGAACATATTTGTCGCACTGTGTATATATCTAGATGACATAGTCGTGTACGAAGCCGGTTTATAGGAGCACAACGCGCGGCTTGTCGAAATATTCAATAAGCTGAGACAGCATAAATTAAAATTACAGCCTGAGAAATGCGAATTTCTCAGAAAAAAGATCATTTATCTGGGGAATGTAATAATAATCAATGACGGGATCAAACCAGATCCGACTAAACTAAAAGGTAAAAGTAAATTTTTTATTCCAGTAAAAATAGATACAAGCATTCATTGAATTAATAGGATATTACAGAAAATTTATCGAAAATTTTTCCAAGATCGCCAAACCTCTAACTAAACTAATAAAGAAAGGAGAACTCTTCGTATGGTCAGTCAAACAACAAAATGCATTCGAATTGTTAAAAAGTAAATTGATTACCGCATCCGTGCTCCAATAATCGGATTTCACTCGAGAATTTCTTGTGATTACCGAAGCATCTGATTACGCGATTGGGACTATACTTTCTCAAGAGACTTTGGTTCAAGACAGACCAATAGCATACGCTAATCGCATAATGTCAAGAGCGAAGAGTAATTACAACACTACCAAAAAGGAATTATTAGTCATCGTTTTGGCAGTTTACGACAGCATTACCGATCGTAATTGTATGGTACAAAATTTAAAATATTAACCATAAGCCTTCAGTATGTTTGTTTAATGAAACTGATTCTGGATCATGATTAATCCGATGGAGATTCAAATTAGAGGAATACAATTACGAGATTATTCACCGAGCAGGCAAGATGCACATGAACGTGGACGCATTAAACCAATGCATACCATTACTTCAGAAGATACGAAAACGAGGACACACACGAGGAAAAGAACACAAGAAAGAATACAGCCTTTCTCCATCTTTTAGGCAACTTGAAAATTCCGTCCTTCCAAAATCTCTCAGGTTTTTCAGCGAAAAACTTTTCTACGTGATTTTTTATCTCGACCAAAGAGTTGAAGTTTTTTCCATTAAGGGAATTTTGTAATGATCGAAATAGATGGAAATCAGAGGGCGCGAGATCTGGTGAATATGGTGGATGGGGTAGAACATCCCAACCGAGCTCCAACAACTTTTGTCGAGTTATCAAAGACACATATGCCGCGCATTGTCCTGATGAAACACGACGCCCTTCCGATTCGCTATTTCTGAAAAATTTTTATTCAATTGCTTTAATTCGTCTAATTGGGAACAACTCTGAATTTATCGTCTCGTTGTTTGATAAAAGCAAAGGACGAACATGTTTCTGTTAGCAAGTACAAATTGTAATATATATTGTTAAATAGTAGTAATAGTAATAGTATTGTTATATAGTTATATATTGTTAAATAGTAGTAATAGTAATAGTATTGTTTAAAATAGTATGAATAAATAAATTAACAAACGGAATAAATAAAAATAATAAGAAAAGTACAATCGAGTCGCAAATAATAAAGAAAAGATACAAACAAGATCGCAATTAATAATTAATAATTAATAATTAAATTAATAGAAAGAGGCGAAAGTTATTTTTGATATTATGAGAGACATGTACAAAAGAATTATTAATGTTGATAGAGAAAGGTAAAAAAACCGTCATTCGTATATGTATTGGGTCATCTAAAAAGTATCAGCGGTTTTTAGATGACCCAATATAATGAGTTAAGTACAATAAAATAAGAATAAATACCTTAGTATGTGTGTCAAAATGGTATATTATCAATTAGACAATGCGATGGGAATCAAAATTGATCATCTCTCTAGGAAGCTAAGAGATAAAGTGAAATATGACATATAAAGACAGAAGGTTGAAATGGAAAAAGAAGGGGAACATAAGAAGGAGAAAATAAAGTAGAAGGGAGAGAAAGTAGGGAGAGAAAAAGATAGATAAAGGACGGAAAGCAATTAAAAAGGAGAAAAAGATTGAATGATCTGTGAGTAGGTTTCAGGTAAAGATTCGGAGTCATTTTGTCTATTCAGACCTGTTTTCTAATATGAATCATTCTTCTGTTTTTTAATATGAATCATTTCAGACACCAATCTCTTATTATAAGATGATTCGCAGTCTAGAATTTTCACATCGTTCCATTTAAAATGATTACAATTAATTCGATGATCAGTTATGACAGTAAGAGAACCCGTATTTTTTCTAATGTCAGAGATATGTTCGCGTAGTCTCGTACTCAATTTTCTTTTTGTCTGACCAACATAACTCGCCTCACAATCGCAGGAGATCTTATAAACAACGTTCTGATTGGATAGGAAATCAAGCTTATCTTTTCCTCTCTTTATAAAGCTTTTTAATGTATTGGGAATAGAAAAGACTAATTTA